CTTTGGAGGGATGAAACCAAGCAGGTGTGAAAACCTAAATTGGTCATGTTCTTGTAATCTCATTCGATTATGAGAAAAGGTTACTGCACAGCCTGAGCTCAGCACTCATTCTTTTCTTTTTTGAGACCGAGTCTCACTCTGTCACCCAGGCTGGGGTGCAGTGGTGCAATCTCGGCTCATTGCAACTTCTGCCTCCCGGGTTCAAGCGATTCTCCTGCCTCAGCCTCCCGAGTAGCTGGAATTCCAGGCATGCGCCACCACGCCCGGCTAATTTTGTATTTTTAGTAGAGATGGTGTTTCTCCATGTTGGTCAGGCTGGTCTCAAACTCCCGACCTCAGGTGATGTGCCCACCTCGGTGGGATACTGCTGGGATTACAGGCATGAGCCACCACGCCCAGCCTCGTTTATTTATGTATTTATTTATTTTTGAGACAGGGTCTTGTCTTGTCTCACTGCAACCTCTGCCTTCTGGGTTCAAGCGATTCTCATGCCTCAGCCTCCTGAGTAGCTGGGACTACTGGTGTATGCCACAGACCTTGGCCCAAGCCATAGCATATGAATTTGTGAAATCTAACTGTCATGCGCGTCCGTGTGAAGAGACCACAGGCTTTGTGTGAGCAACATGGCTGTTTATTTCACCTGGGTACAGGCGGGCTGAGTCCAAAAAAGAGAGTCAGCGAAGGGAGATGAGGGTGGGGCCGTTTTATAGGATTTGGGGAGGTAAAGGAAAATTACAGTCAAAGGGGGGTTGTTCTCTGGCGGGCAGGAGTGGGGGTTACAAGGTGCTCAGTGGGGGAGTTTTTTGAGCCAGGATGAGCCAGGAAAAGGAATTTCACAAGATAATATTATCGCTTAAGGCAATGACCGGCCATTTTCACTTCTTTTGTGGTGGAATGTCATCAGTTAAGGTGGGGCAGGGCATTTGCACTTCTTTTGTGATTCTTCAGTCACTTCAGGCCAGCTGGGCATATACGTGCAAGTCACAGGGGATGCGAGGGCTTGGCTTGGGCTCAGAGGCCTGACACTAACCATGTCTACACTTAAAAGTGTCTTCCTCCTCACTGAGTAGTTCCTGATGTAGTCCCCTGATTACAACTGCCAATCAGATCAGCACAGCTCAGTAAGTCAATAGAAGGCTTCCCTGTGACAATGGGAGCGGGTGTCTTATTTGCAATTTTGAAAAAGTATAAAAGTAGGGGCTTTTATATAATATTGAAAACTTGGACACAACTCCTGAGCACAACAGGAAAATAACTAAGCAAACTTACCTGTGGGTCTTCCCTCAAAGGCAAATCCCACTGAAACACCCAAGAGTTACAAGGAAGGGGAAAAGCCTGTGGCAGGATTGGAACACAGAGAACAATATAATCAAGTGACCAAAAACACAGAGGGATTTCTGAATGAAATGAAGATGACGGAATCAGGTCAACAAGGAAGCAGATCGTGCCTAACAGCCTAGCGATGTAACACTGGCAAGGTACGGGGCTCTGTGACAGGGGAATGGGCTGCTGCAACCAAACCCCAGAAACTACCCAAAGGCAGAGCAGCCAGGGCTGGGATGACAGGCGGGTGTAAGGCAGGCAGAGGACGGCAGGAAAAGCCCTCCCATTACAGCCAGGCAGACGGTTTACTTCCCAGAGCTCTCCCCGTCCTAGTCGAAGAAGTAAGGGTAGCCAAAAGTGGAAATATCAGAAAGACTCCAAATTGCCATTATTTGCAAATAGAATGATCTCCTTAGAAAAAATCCAAAAGAATCAACTAAAGCGTGATTAAAAAAGTTTGACCGGGTGCGGTGGCTCACGCCTGTAAAGCACTTTGGGAGGCTGAGGCGGGTGGATCATCTGAGGTCAGGAGTTCAAGACCAGCCCAACATGGTGAAAACTTGTCTCTACTAAATGTACAAAAATTAGCCAGGCGTGGTGGTGCATGCCTGTAGTTCCAGCTACTCAGGAGTGTGAGGCAGAAGAATCGCTTGAACCCGGGAGGCGGAGGTTGCAGTGAGCAGAGATCACACCACTGCACTCCAGCCTGGGCGACAGAGTGAGACTCCATCTCAAAAAAAAAATCAAAAACCACAGTTCAGTAAAATGGTCAGATAAGATAAACATTCAAAACCACCAACTGTTCTAAATGCAAACTCTAAACAGTCAGGGGAAAAAAAAGTATTTTCTCACAGTAGCAACAAAAGCACAGTACAGGCCAGGCACAGTGGCTTACGTCTGTAATCCCAACACTTTCAGAGGCTAAGGCAGGAGGATCACTTGACGCCAGGAGTTTGAAATCAGCTTCGTCAACATAGCTAGATCCCATTTCTACAAAAGAAAAATGCAAAAAGGAGCCAGGCTTGGTGGCCTGCACCTGTAGTCCCAGCTACACAGGAGGCTGAGGCAGAGGACTGCTTGAACCCAAAAGTTCAAGGCTGCAGTGACCTATGACTGCCATCACTGCCCTCCAGCCCGGGCGACAGAGTGAGACCCTGTCCCTAAAATAAACAAACAAATAAAAATACAGCTAGAAATAAGTCTTTATAAATTAAGACCCCTTTGAAGAAAATTGTAAAACCTTGCTGCAGTGTTTTTAAAAACCTCAGCATGGCCAGGTGTGGTGACTCATGCCTGTAATCCCAGCACTTTGGGAGGCTGAGACGGGTGGATCACCTGAGGTCGGGAGTTTGAGACCAGCCTGACCAACATAGAGAAACCCCATCTCTACTAAAAATACAAAATTAGCTGGGCGTGGTGGCGCATGCCTGTAATCCCAGCTACTTGGGAGGCTGAGACAAGAGAATCGCTTGAACCCAGGAGGCAGGGGTTGCGGTGAGCCGAGATCGCACCATTGCACTCCAGGCTGGGCAGTAAGAGAAACTCTGTCTCAAAAAACAAACCAACAAACAAACAAAATCTCAGC